AATTTACAAAGCGCTGGATATTTACCGTGGAAGCGGGATTAAAAATGATTTTCCGTTTTTCGTTTCGTATTCAACAGGACTTTGAGATAGCATAAGACAAGTTCTAATGATGAGCTTTTTTTTTTTTTTTGTCTTTTTGCTTATTCAACACACACAGCAAGTTCAGTGAATACAATGTACTCGACTTGTAAATGAATTTCAGCTTGAAGAGAAATTTGGAAGAGATTTGTTCGCTTCTTTGCTTAATAAATATTACTTGGTAAGCTTTTCGCTTCAAGGATTATCTTCGATGCTTCCTTTTCGACAAATGAAGAAATCAAGACCAAATACGATAAAGTGAATAACGTGGATATTCGATTGATAGCTTGTCCATCAAAATCGGGCTTGTGTACTACATATCTTATTGTTTTCCAGCTTTGAGGTGTAGCGTCTAGTACAGATTACACAAACCTCCATCAACTTAAAAGAAATATGTTAGTGGGAACGCTTGAAAGTCGCCCTTCAAAAATACCAATACAATGTTAGTCAAATACGTTCCCCCACTTGCTATATATCATCAAAGGACTAGCATATTAGTTAAATACTCCTCCCTTTACTATGTACTCTTGGATAGTTACTTCGTGAACAGAACCATGGATTTTCTCTAATTTGTTTTATGTGAAATTGAATGTATGTTAATTGGTACTCTAGTATATCGTATTAAGTACACAAGAGAACAATGACATGAGCATCTACTGCTAGCAGAGGTTGAAAATCGCAGAAATACAATCATTCATCCCGGGATACAAGAGCCCTCGTCAAATGAAAGACTTTTTTGACAGTCAACTCGACTTCCGAGCACAGGTAACTCAAGTAAGTTACATACAAATACAGGTTTTATGACATCCTTATAACAAGTGTTGTTGGTGTAATTTGTGGAAAAACCATTGATTAAATATCCTCTACGAAGGCCGAACAAGGAAAGCTTATATTAAACGAAAGAAGATTATACATCTTTCCCCTGAAACTCTATTTGTGATTGTCGATATTATCGGAAAAATTGGAATAATTTTTGCTATTGTCTAGAAGAGATCAGATTCAAATTCCATATTTCGATGTCTAAAATAAATAATCATTTTCCTTATTTTCTTCGTAATAAGAGAGTATACTTGGAATGGAATGGAATTTATTTTACAACATTATCTTACCGTGTTTGCAAGTACCGTTCGTAAAGTTTTTTAACGAGAATTTGTGACTAAACTTATGGCACTTCTTATTAGACTTTCTTTGCAAGTTTCCTTTGTATTATTATTAAAAAGCTTTCCTATTTGCCTATAATCAAACCAATTGATCTTTAGCAGTTTTTTTTTTTTTTTTCTTATTTTCTCTCCTACGGTAAGAAGAAAGAAAACGTAAAAAGTTCTTTTGCCTGAGTAGAGAAAAAAAAATTTACTATATGTTGAAATGGTTTTTTATTATACCACTTACCTAAAAACATACTTTGTAAAAATGCAAAGTTTCTTTAGGGGCATGTACGGCAAAGTCAGATGAATTTTTGTAGCAAAAAATAAATCTTCAAAAAGATTATTTATAAAGACTTCACATTTCTTGATCAAGATCCTCTTAGTTTCATTAATCAACAAGAAAGAAGAAAGATTGCAATGGTATATGCATATGGGTACGATTACGTTTTATGTTTATGCAATATTTAAGTAAATTTCATATGGAAACTAAAGCAATGTTAAGCTGATTATAGTTTTATAATAAATGCTTTTAGTTTCTATCGATCGACTCAATAAAAAGAAAAGAAAATGAAAAACATTAATAATTTAAGTATGTTTGTTTGCATGTGCGTGTGTGCTAGTTTATGGAAAAACTTATATAAGAAATAATTGTTCAATTTATATTTAATATAAGGGGCATTCTTGATTCCTACGATGGGGATCATTCTTCGGCGCTTAGTTTTTGCACAGACCGGTCATAGCCTTCTACTATTATGGTTTTCGAAATCTGACAGGATTACGGCAGGCACGAAAAAAGAGGAAGAATAAGAAGAACGAGTAGATGAATAGACGTTCAAATAGCTAGGATAGGAAAAGAAATAGACGAACAGATGGACGAACGGGTGAATGATCTTCCAAAGAAGCGGACGGACAAGTGGATGGATGGCTAAATGGCCGGCCAGGTGGACTAAAAAAAAGAATACAAGCGAAAGTTGATAGGCGAATAAATAGCCAACCAGGCAGATGGACAGACAAACGGTTTGACGAGCAAACGGTGCTTAGGGAGAGAATCTGACTCTAGATAAAAATGCTTACATTTTAGGTGATTTAGATGGTAGCATAATCCCATTCTTTCGTGTATGTACGTATGTACATGCTGATATGTATGTGGCAAACAAAAAATGAAAAATAAAAACTAAAAACTTCATAATAATAATTTTAAACGAACCCATAAATTGAAAAGAAGGTAAAAAAGAAAGAAGTAGACATAAAGTTTCCAAGAGTCGTTTTAGGAAAAGTACATAGTAATTTTGCAGAAACTTTGAATGACATGCATTACAGTTTCATTTTTTTTTTTTTTATTTCGCTTAAGATTTTTATCCAACAAAATGGTAGAAAGTTGTGCTGAAAATGGGTGAAGCGAAATTCTGCGGAAATTACGGAAATGTAAATGCTCTTCTGATTAAATATATGTTCCCTCTCTTTTCTTTCCTTTTTTAACTCTTAATAATACCTAGTACCTAGAGAGCGTGGAATCAGGTACAAATAAATATGTGCGTTTCAATGTACATTACTGCCGTATAAATATATTTTATGAATGTATAAACGTACATGCGTATGGCTTTTTTCTTTTTCTTTTTTTTTTTTTTTATAACATATATAACAACATTCACAACGAACATTGCAGTCTCAAGAAGTGAACAGCAATCAAGGAATAACATTTTCTATAGAAAATGTGAAGATTACGTGAAAGACGGAAACATATGATAAGCTTTAAATTAAAGCATTACATATTTAATAAAAAATATTAAGGGAAAATGTAGGTCACTCTTACATTCGAAGCGAATTAGAGGCGTAATTATAATTGCTTACATTTAGCAAGTTTTAATTACTCGTATATTTAAATACTTTGAATATTTGTATATTTATATACTCTATTACAAAATGTAAATGGGTCGCTATATATATATTGAATAGAAATCATGCAACAACTTACCCAATATTTATTTATATGATAGATATACCAAAGCATGATGAGATGTGTCTCGATCGATTTATATTTGCATCGGTAACTTCGAAAGATACACATTACTAGAGACATCATGCAGCCCGCCGCTGTGCATCAATTTAATTCGTTCCGCTCATCGCCCCGACCGTCTATCTGTCTGTTGTGTATTTTTGAAGCACCCACCATCTTTAAAATGGAGG